CCCTCTCTCTCTCTCTCTCTCTTCCCTTATTCCTCTTGCACTCCGAAAGTCTGGGGCGCCTGTGGATACCGGCGGAAGGAGGTTGAGGATGAGAAGGAACAGGAGAGGCCATCTTCCCCCACGCTTCCGCTGTGCCCATAAATTATCACTTGGCGGGAACGACACACGCTGGCGGCTTTAACTTTTCTGCTTAATCGGGTAAAAGCGGGCGTCTTGCCGATCGTGTGATTAGGCTCGGTTACGCGAACGTGATCAACGACGATGCCACTGGTCGAGATAACACCGCCGCTGCTGCTGCTGCTGCTGCTGCTTCTCCTCCTCCGTTCGAACTTCGCGAGATCTCTCCATTCCCGAGCTCGTCTCATCTCGTCTCGTCTCGTCTCACCTCACCTCGTACCGTCTCGTCCTGCATGCTCGTGTCTTGATATATATATGTTCGATAGTAAATTTTTTACGAACGTCCGGAAGAGCGGTTCTCCGTGACGGCGCTTCTCGACGAGAAAATCGCCGGTATGGGCGGCAGCGCGCCGTTCGTCGGAATAATTTATTGGAAAACAATTGAATCTGGACGGGCACTGGAACGGCGGAGGAGCACGGTACGCGGAGGAGTATTGCTTAGACGTCTATATATTTATGGGAGGATTTATTTTCTGGGAACAATGCGGACAATGTGGCCGATATAATTGTTCGTTGAGTGAATAATTGTTCATTGCAGTATATACTTCGTGTGGTAATTAGTCGGGCTTATAACTGCCGCGAAATCAATTATCTCTTTCTGTCTCTTTACCTCCTCTGCCTCTCTCTCCCTCTTTCTTTCTCTTTCTCTTCCTCTCTCTCTCTCTCTCTCTATCTCGCAAGTGAGCGCGCTATGAGAGAAAAGGAACACTTATTAAATTAATTGTAGATTCTGCGGGAATTTAAGTAATAATAATCTTCCAACGAGATCACAATATGGAGTTTGCGATACTTCGCCTTCCTCTTCGCTCAATGAGAATGTACAAGATATCTCAAAGCATCCGATCAACTTTAATAATTGGACTTTGATGTAACTTTGATGTAACTCTGTCTCATAGCACACATGTTTTGCGTACTTTAACTTAGCACACTCTAATATATTCTGTTCTCGCTGATTAATATTATGTAAAAGTACTAATGAAAAAAAATCTGTAAAAAATTATAAATATATTTTCATAAATATATTCATCATTTTATAAACGGTCAATTTAAATATTTCATTTTATTGTAAATATAAGGTAAACATTGAAAACGTGAGTTTACATGAAATCTGTGATTTTCCTAGAAATGAATTTAAGCAATTAACACTCTAGGATTTTCTTGTGAGTACTTTAAAGGGATACCGGAATTGAAATCTTTACCAACAGAATACTGACTTTTCTCTGCATACGTTATATTGACAGAATATAGAATTACAAATGCCCTTATATAATAAAAATATGTGCAAGAATAACATTGCTTGAAACATTGCTCAATATATGACAAAAACGATAAAAAATTTCAAAGTTGACATTTCAAATATAAATTAGTTTGTCAGACGCTATCAGTTAAAATAAATCTCACCTGATAAAAAGGATTTGTAACTTATATATACTGAACGCGAGTTTGCTCCGCTCTTTCAGGAAAATGTTAAAGAATATTACTATACATTTACATCTGAATTTAAAAGTTTAAAATATTGCAAATTTGCAAAAAGATTTCTATATATGTGCAGGTTTAGAATATGGTAAAACAAAAAAACATATATTTACGTAATATCTATACTAAAATTACGAAAAGAACAGCGTTTTATTAATGATGATCATCCCTACATTATCGACATTTGATTTTTTAAACTTTCGCGGTGTTCATGCATATTAGATTTGATTTTCAGGTTTGAGCCGCGTTATTTCTTTTTCGTTTGATTCCGACGTTTTGCGAACATTTCAGTCCGCTTCATCAGAGAGAAACGATGTTATCGATATTATTGCTCGTCATCGGTACCAGCATTTCTTTAAAAAAAATATTACATATTTTAATTTGTTACAAAATATAATTATTATTTAGGTTATTACAGGAATACATTATTTTTTCAGTAAAGAGGTGAATAAAATCATTAATAGTTTCAAGATTTTGCGGTAATACTCTATTATAAAATGCGTATTTTATTAAAATTATTACAAAATATGCCATATCTGAATCTTTTTTTACTCGTGATTAGATTCTGAAGGAAAAGGAACCTTGCTCACTTATAACATAACCAAGAATAAATAAACTACTTACACGAAACTTTTCTAATATATTATATTTTATATGTTATATTCTTATATATTATATAGTAATATAATAATTCATATTATATGTAGTACATATAATATATAACAAATATATTATTATATGTTATATAATATTGCATTTAATCTAAAAAATCAAAATATAACGTAAAATTATCATTACTTTATATTTTTATTTTACACTTTGACATCTATCTCTTAATGTGATACACTGAAGTCAAAGACGACACATAGCAGCCTTTTTATTATATAACAAGCAATTGAAATAGCTCAATAGTGTTTGAACCTTATATTCCATTAACTATAACTTTTTTAGAACGCAAAGTACTTATTCCACTATAGTTTTTGCGGATAATTAAAAACTAAAAGTCGGTTGAACTTGAATATAATCCTAATTCCGGTTAAATTAATTAATGTTAAATAAAACTAAAAAAAGAAATTATTACTTTTTTCTTGCCTTGTGTATTTTCTTTTAAACTTTGTTATTTCGGCCGCTCTGATAGAAATAAAACTTTAATTGTTGGAACTTCTAGCCTCAACATTGAAATCAATAGTACAATGTTTTTCGCGAAATTCTTTTAAAGAAAAATAGGCGCATGTGTTCAAATGAAGCCGAGAATTTTGAAATGCTGCGCACATGTGTTATCCGAACATATACTTTGTAACTGATCAATATAATGATCCTAAATTTGATGGGTGTTTATATTGATTTGTTATTATATACAAGACATTACATGTAATTACTATGAATATCGAGCAGCTTATATTATAACGCAATTGGCTACAGTCCGGCCGCGATAATGTGTGTGTGTTTAATCAAGTATTCATTATTTATGTCCAACTCAGTTTCAGCCGCGTCCGCGCTTGAATCGCTTATCCACCGGGCTCATTGTGACGCGCGACATTTTAACGAGAATTTTTATTAACGCAGTAATTTCCGCGCCCAAATGCACAATAACCGGGCCGAAAAAATACTGCTGTGACTAAGGCGTAAAGTTGACATGTAAATTATAAATATATCAACAACGCCACGTGGGAAATATTTGGAAGATGAATTGTGAGCGCGATGTACAAAGATATTTTGCCAGGCGCGCGCGTTTGGCAAAATATCTTTGCCAATGAGTAATTTATAGTATTTCAGCGAGAATAACTTGTGTGACAACAAAAATCGACACTTCCGCGAATAATTTCGTCGGACAAGGTTTACACTTATAACTCGAAATCTGACATAGTTATATCGTTTGTAATCACGAAAATTCACGGCGCATTTCAGTGCGCCAAGTATACTGAATATTCGATGATATTCGAACAATGGACAATTTACAAGTCCGTCAAACTTAAAAAGTTACACACAGTTCAGTTCACACGTTAAACAAATAATAGGAGAATTTCATTGAGCAGCTAAATTGGAATTTTGAAAACCATTAAATTTGTATTTAATGCATGCTTTAGATTGTCCACAATTCACTACACGATTCGCAACAAAATTCTATGTGTAAGAAAACATTCCAAGATTCAAATATATGTGTCTACATATACAAAATTTCAAATATTTCGAATTATACGTGTTTTATATAAAGTATATAGATTATACAGACTATATAGAATAGTACTTCTCGGTGAAACAAATGATTAGTTATCACCATTTTATTCAGTTTAAATGAAGAAACTATTTAAGAATTATATAATATTTTATAAGGTAAATAAAAGAATCTTATATATCTGAACTTAAATGTCGAGACTGAGGTATGTAAGTAAAACTCTTTAAACTGAGTAAAAAAATTATGTTTTTCTTTGCACACTACCACGGTAATTACTGAGATATTAATTAAAGAAAACTGGCTAATCAACGCGATACGGTGAAATGTATAATGTAGAGTAGTCTGAAAAGACATGTCATGTAAAGGACAGACGAGTACAGACGTCCAGCGCTTTAAAAACATAGAAGAACAATCGCCATCTGTTTGCGAGTCAAATATCTACACCACTGATAAATGAATAACAATGGGCCGTGCGAACAAACGAGAATTAAAGTAAAAAACAACAAATCTATTTGTTTCGACAGTACGCTTGTAAAAATGTAATATGAATATATTCGTATGCAATATCGACGTTATTATTTTGAAATTCAATTTTGAAACGAACCCTAAAGATTATATCCGTATATTTATATTAAGATAATGTACTTATCCAGACATGTGTATTTGAATGTAAACAATTTCTTTGAGGTACAAAGGCCCGGTATCGCCCGAGAGACATAGACCCGGTACTTTCTCGCATATTTATATTTAATATCCTTCCATATATATCTCCCTTTATCGTCAATAGAACATCAGTACTGATACATAATACATATATTTCTCTTAGGCTACACTGAAAAGTCCCAGCGCATTACTTTAAAGTCAATATGACAAATAGAATCCTTGTAATAACTTGTAATAACTTGTAATAACTTGTAATAACTACTGCAATGAGTATATTTATAGAACTATCTAAGTTTAATGGACCATTCAATGAAGATAAGTACAATCAGTTTTTCAACCCGAATCTTTGTCATGTTTGTAAGTCGCCAAACGACGGAAAATTAATTCCATGCGATCGGTGTAATTCCATTTATTACTGTTGCGAAGAACATAAGACGATGCATGCAGAATCACACCAGACGGTCTGCGGAGTTATAGCATTAGCGATATCATTTGATCCGAACTGGTATAATCGTCGTTGTTATTTCGAAGAGTGGATGGACTTACAAAAATCCTTAATCATATTTATAAAAATGCACATATCACGCAGACTATATCGGTATGAAGCAGAGATGTGCTTGTGCGCAAAATCGTGTTATGTTTGTCATCGGAGAATTAATTTGCAACCCTGCACGTACTGCTATTCTATAAATTATTGCGACGAGCACATAGAACCTTTTAGAACTCACGTAATGTGCCAATACCTGATGGTTTTGCTCAACTTGAATATCGCAAATATAAACAACAGTATCTGTAATGAATATCCAGAATATCAGAAATTTGTTTTCCCTAAGAAACAAGAGTATTATGACATGATTTCATTTATTAATATGTATATAAGGAATTCTAACCAACATGCATGGCCGAATCAATTGTATATTTTCACAGATTACGTGACAGGGCCGCTAACATTATACAATGCGTTAGAGGAAGCAGATTTATTAAATAATCCACGAAAGCTTTGTGTATATGTCATTCATATTATAGGCGGAAATATAATAGATGTAATTGGTTTAAAAGCTTGGGAGATTCTACTACATCTTCTGCAGAATATAAGGAAATTATATATTGTAATGATAAGCCCCGAAATGGTGTTCGAATCGGCTGAATATGACAATCTTTGTCACGAATGTATCAGCTGTAGTCAGAAACTTTATTTTGATTTCGTATCTGAGTCATACAACAATTATCTGAAGATGGAATCATATAAATTTCCAAATATAATTGTCGGATTTGAAGCCAAAATTTCTGTCAAGTATTTATCTTCCAAATTCTTATCAGAAGTATTAGTTAGCTTATCAACAGTAAACTGTCCATTACTTTTAACGGCTAAATCGCACAAGAATGTAAAAGAAATTATATATATCTTGGGAAAAATCTATCATAATAATAAGTTGTATATAACAAAAAAAAATGACTTCAGTAGTTGTAGACCAAATAGAGATTATAGCAACGGTGAAATAATTTTTCGCAATTCTTATTTTATTATATACAAATAAATTTAAATTTAATAAGCAACTCAATTAAAGACGATGACTGTTTTAGGCTAAACGATTACTAGTTTCGTAATGTTATTGTTTTATTATATTGTTGAATTATATGCATGTTTGATAATATGAATAAATCATTTTACAATCATAATCATAAATTCTTTAATGACTAGCCACATACATTTATTGGTAAATAAATTTTCCTTTTTTCTTTCCTTCTAAAATTGTGAATTACACGTATGACATCTTAATGATTGCTGTCTCATAAGATGTTAAAGTTTTGCGAGTTCTCGCGAAATATCACATATCACGCAAATGCACAAAAGCGTTTTATCACTCGATCACTATATATCTCCTAATTTTTTATGGAAAATAAATAAGTAAGTCTGATACGTATGTTTATTTGTATAACATATGCTTTATAATAATATTTACTTTATAAAATATTATAATGCAGTTGAAGTTTCATTTTTATTTAGTTAGTTTAAGAATAATATGCGGCTAATATTTACAAACATATTTATAATATAACGAAAAAAGCAATCATTAATGTCAATCACACAGACATATTAGGATAGATACAAATAAAAAACTGTGTACCTTTTATACAAACAACAAAAGATAATATTACCAAATATTAAAAAATACATGCATTTAGCATTTCAATTCTAACGTTTGTCATATTTGTCAATACCTAAATGACGGCAAATTAAAAATTATACTACTTCTAAACTATCCAAGTTTTAAAATCAGACAGTAGAATCCATAAACATGACAGAAGGAGTCATTGAAGTAACTAGGAGATTTTTATTTTTACAAAAATAAATTTTATTTTAGACCATATAGATTATATAGAATATATAAGTTTCACATAGGTATATATATTTTCGACCATATAGAAATTACGAAACTCTTGTGATTCTTTATCGAAAATGCTCCTACAATCATTTTATTTACGAATACCGATCATATAAGCGAGTCAGTTAAAAACTGAAGCAAATAGGATGTATAATTGCATTCTATGGTAAACCTATTGTAAACATTATACATAAATAATATATAAGATCAATAATACTCACTAACACGGTAATTACTGAGATATTAATTAAAGAAACTAATCAATGCACGCGCGATGCTGTGAGACGTATATAAGTAGGTGTCTGAAAAAACATGTCTTGCACAGAACAGCCGGATAAAGACGTCTAGCGCTTTAAAAACATAGAGGGACAATCGCCATCTGTTTGCGAATCAAATAACTACCATAGATGCAACTGATAATTAAATGACAATGGGCCTTGCGAACAAGCGAGAGCGAAAGAAATACAAAATTATTTGTTTTGACAGTACGCTTGTAAAAATGTATTATGAATATGTTCGTATGAAATATCGACATTATTAATTCAAAATCGAATTTTGGAGCGGATCTATAACATATTCTAGAGCTAATTTTATCCTAAGGCTAATTTCATCTCTCATATTTATATTAAGATAATGTACTTATCCAGACATGTGTATATGTATTTTAATGTAAACAATCTCTTTGAGGTACAAAAACCCGCACGAGGGACATAGACCCGGTCGTTTCTCGCATATTTATATTTACTATTAGTGTCCTTCCATATATATCTCTCTTTATCGTCAATAGAACATCAATACTAACATAATACATATATTTTTCTTATGCTCCACTGAAGAGCCCCAGCGCATTATTTTGAAATCAATATCATAAATAGAATCCTTATAATAATACTTACTGCAATGAATATATTTGGAGCAATGTCCAAGTTTAATGGACCATTCCATGAAGATAAGTACAATCAGTTTTTCAACCCGAATCTTTGTCATGTTTGTAAGTCGCCAAACGACGGAAAATTAATTCCATGCGATCGGTGTTATTCTATCTATTACTGCTGTAAAGAACATAAGGCGATGCATGAAGAATCACATCGGAAGGTCTGCGAAGGTTTAACACTAGCGATATCATTTGACCCGCACTGGTATACGCGTTGCTGTAATTTCAAAGAGTGGATAGATTTAAAGAGATCCCTAGTCATTTTTATAAAAATGCACATATCACGCAAACTATATCCGTACGAAATAGAGATGTGCTTTTGCGCAAAATCGTGTGATATTTGCCATCGGATGATTAATTTGCAAACCTGCACGTACTGCTATTCTATAAATTATTGCGACAAACATATACGATCTATGACATCACATGTAGATTGCCAAAATCGGTTGCTTCTGTTGGACTTGAATATCGCAAATATAAACAATAACGTCTGTAATGAATATCCAGAACATCTGAAGAATACTAAGTTTCCTGTAAAACGAAATTATTATAGCATGCTGTCATTTGTTAATGCGTATACAAATCATCCTAAAGGAGACATGTGGACAAATAAATTGTATATTTTTACTGATTATATGACAGGTCCGCTAACATTATACAATGCGTTTGGCAAAGCAAATTTATTAAATTATCCACGACAACATCGTGAATTTGTCATACATATTATAGCCGGAAGTGCACTAGATGTGGCAAGTTTGAAAGCTTGGCAAATTCTACTACATCTTTTTTTCACTGTAAAGAAACTACATATTGTAATGATAAAGCCCGAAACGGTGTTCGAATCGGTTAAATATAATCTTTGTCACAAAAGCATCACACGTAATCAGGAACTTTATTTTGAATATGTATCTGAGTCATACTATAACTATGTAAGTATGAATTCATATAAGCAACCAAATGTGATCGTAGGTTTTGAATTTTCTGACAGGGGGGAATGGTCAAAATCTTTAGTGACAATACTGGGCATAAACTGTCCTTTACTTTTAACCGTTAAATCGGCAGAGCGTGCAAAAAAAATCATACGTATCATGAATAATTTGTTCCATAATAATAGGAAGTATACGGACGGAAACAATTGCTTCTGTAGTTATAAACCAAATAGAGATTATAAGACTGGTGGAATATTTTTTCGAAATTCTTATTTTATTATATACCAATGAATTTAAATTTAATAACTGACTCAATGAAAGGTAATGCCTGTTGTAGACTGTACGATTGTGTTGCTAGTTTTGTAACATTATTGTAAATTATATGCACGTTTGATAATATGAATAAATCATGAATTCTGTAATAAATATCTACACACATTCAATGGTAAATAAATTTCCTTTTTTTCTTTTCTTCTAAAATTGTGAATTACACGTTATTCGTGTGATACCTTAACGATTGCTGCCTTGTAAGGTGTTAGAGTTTTGCAAGTGCTCGCGTGATATCATATATTACGCAAATGCACAAAAGTGTTTTTGTCACTCGGATATATAATTTTCCAATTTTTCATGAAAAATAAGTAATTAGGCCTGGTATGTATGTTCATTTGTAATATTTACTTCATAACATGCAAATATTAAAATGTAGTTTAATTTCTTTTTTAGTTAGTGTAAGACTAAAATATAAATACGTCACAAATAAAATATTTATAATATAACGAATAAGTAATTATTAATTTCAATCACACAGATATATTAGAATGGATGTAAATAAAAAAACTGTACTTTATACAGGCAACAAAATGTAACAACGAAAATCGAATTTTGTAACGGATCTATAACATATACTAAAAATTATCTGTATATTTATATTAAAGTAAGGAACTTATCCAGACACATGTATATGTATTTGAATGTAAACAACCTCTTTGGGGCACAAAGGTCTGATATCGTCAGGGACACATAAGCCCGGTGGTTTTTTGCTCGTAACTTTATGTTCACTATTAGCGTCCTTCTATATATATATATATAATTCTCTACCGTCAATAGAACGTCAACATAATACATATATTTCTTTTAAGCTCCACTGAAGAGTCCCACCGCATTATTATAAAGTCAATATCATAAATAGAATCCTTGTAAATGACAGTTATAAACGTACTGCAATGGATATATCTACAATCCTGTCCAAGTTTAATGGACCATTCCATGAAGATAAGTACAATCAGTTTTTTAACCCGAATCTTTGCCATGTTTGTAAGTCGCCAAACGACGGAAAATTAATTCCATGTGGTCGGTGTGATTCCATTTATTACTGTTGCGAAGAACATAAGGCGATGCATGAAGAATCACATCAGAAGGTCTGCGAAGGTTTAGTACTAGCGATAAGATCTGATCCAAACTGGTATACCCGTTGTTGTAATTTCAAAGAGTGGATAGATTTAAAGAGATCCCTAATCTTATTTATAAAAATGCACATACGACGCAAACTACGTTTGTACGAAATAGAGATGTGCTTTTGCGCAAAATCGTGTGATATTTGTCATCGGATGATTAATTTGGAAACCTGCACGTACTGCTATTCTATAAATTATTGTGACGAACATATACAATCTATAATATCACATGTAGATTGCCAAAATCGGTTGCTTCTCCTGAACTTGAATATCGCAAATATGAACAGCAATATCTGTAATGAATATCCAGGACATCTGAAGAATGCTAAATTTCCTACAACACGAATTTGTAATGACATGATGTCATTTGTTAATGCGTATACAAATCATCCTAAAGAAGACATGTGGCCAAATCAATTATATATTTTTACTGATTATGTGACAGGTCCGCTAACATTATACAATGCGTTTGACAAAGCAAATTTATTAAATTATCCACAACATTGCGAATTTGTCATTCATATTATAGGCGGAAGTGCAATAGATGTAACAAGTTTAAAATCTTGGCAGATTCTACTACATTTTTTTTTTACTGTAAAGAAACTACATATTGTAATGATAAAGCCCGAAATGGTGTTCGAGTCGACTGAATGCAACCTTTGTTACGAGTGCACCCAAAATAACAAGAAACTTTATTTTGAATATGTATCTGAATCATACTGCAACTATGTAAATATGAATTCATATAAGCAGCCAAATGTAATCGTAGGTTTTGATGTAGAACTTTCTGAGGGTGATTTATGGTCGGAATCTTTACCAATGATACACGTTATAAACTGTCCTTTACTTTTAACCGTTACCTCGAAAATGAAGTTGGAAACAATCATGTATATCACAGGAAATATCTTACGTAATAGGAACTCTGTACACGGAATAAATTTCTTCTCTAGTTGTAGACCAAATAGAGATTATGAGATCGGTGGAATATTTTTTCGAAAGTCTTATTATATTTTATACCAATGAATTTAAATTTAACATGTAACTAAATGAAAGACGATAATTATTTTAGACTATATGATTCTGTTGTTAGCTTTGTCACGTTAATATAAATTATATGCATGTTTATTAATATGAATATCATGAGTTCTTTAATGAATACCTCCACACATTCAATGGTAAATCAATTTCCTTCTTTTCTTTCCTTCTAAAATTATGAATTACACGTTATTCGTGTGATACGTTAATAATTGCTGCCTCATAAAATGTTAGAGTTTTGCAAGTGCTCGCGTGATACCACATATCACGCAAATGCACAAAGGTGTTTTATCACTCGAATATATAATTTCCCAAGTTTCCATGAAAAGTAAGTAAGTAGGTCTTGTATATGTGTTTATTTGTAATATTTACTTTATAACATATAAATATCATAATAGTTTAAGTTTAATTTCTTTTTTTAGTTAGTGTAAGATTAATATGTGGCAAATATAAAAATATTTATAATATAGCGAAGAAGTAATTATTAATTTCAGTCACACAGACATATTAAAATGAATGTAAATAAAAAGCTGTATACCTTTTATACAGGCAACAAAAGATAACATTACAAAAAATACATGCATTTAATTTTTCAAATTAAACGTTTGTTATATTTGTAATTATTTAAATGACGGTAAATTCATAATTATACTATTTCTAAACTGTCCACGTTTTAAACGGAAAATTAGACAGTGGAAACCATAAGCATGACAGAAGAAGTCGTAGGTATAACTAGAAGACTTTTTCTTTTTACAAAAATAAATTTCATTTTAAACCATATAAATTATATAGAATATATAGTTTACGTAGGTATTTTAGATCATATAGAAATTACGAAATTATTGATTTTTTTATCTAAAATGCTTCTATTATCATGTATCACCGAATATCTATCATATAAACGACCCAGTTAAAAGCTGAAGCAAATAGAATGTATAATTGCATTCTATGGTAAAACTATTGTAAGCATTAGACATAAATTATACATGAGATCAATAATATTCGCAAATAAATTATTGATTTTTTTCGAAGTTTCAGGTCGCCTTACTCCTTAAAGTAGTAAATTGAAATTTCTGAACTAAACACAAGCAACATACGGTCTAAATCCATAAAAGCAAAATATTTTACCGTGAAAGCTTAAAATGCCATACATAAACTTTATTACCGTTCGATATAACAAATGATTAGTTTACATCCGTTTTATTAAGATTTAACAGGAGTAATTATTTAAGAGTAATTTAATATTTTATGTGCCAGATAAGAAGAATATATCTAATATATCTAGACTTATATATCGGAAGTCAGGTTTGCAAGTAGAACTCTTTAAATTGAATACAAAAGTTATCTTACTTTTTGCAAACTGCCACCATACATAGTTATTGATATATTAATTAAAGAAAATTTGTCAATTAATGAACGCGATGTGGTGAAACGAATATTGTTGGGCAATAAACATATCTTATATTTGTTTCCTAATTTTCTAGCAACAATAAATATAAATGCGCGAAATAAAATCATCTGTTGCTTGCTGTTTGGAATGTTAACCTGTTTTTTCTATAATACGATTTCTACTGTTGCTTGGAAACAATCAACAACAGTCAACAACAGTTCAAGATATGTTTCTTGAGACTCTCTACAATGCATCCTCCATAGAATTGTATATATATCCATTCACTTGTCTTCTTTTATTAATCAATTAAATAATATAATAACAAATTTAATATTTCAATAATTACCATGATAGTTTATAAAATGATGATGGATTTTTCTATTCACTTTGTCAAGTGTCAACTATACAAGTGACCCTTTTGTTCAGACATATGATATAATTGATATTTTAAATTTTCTAATTTCGACAAACAACTTATAGGTTGCTAAAATAATACATACATTTATTTTGCCATAGATTAAGTATCCGTCAAACACACACACTAAACAAAAATTTCTTTGCTACTTAAGGTAATATGCACTCAACGAGATAGATGTTTTGCCTTTTACTAGTTTCTTCCTAAGAATCGTTAATAGTGGATGATCGAGGCTAATTTTACTAGGGACAGATTATAACGATACTTCTAATTCATAAATTAACAGAAATAGAACAATACTTTAAAGAAAAAAATTCTCGTGTTTATTTCCTCTTATTAATCTCAGCCATGCCGTGATAAGAAGTTATGTTAATCTGATTGAATAAAACTTGTCAATTCAGAACCGGTCTCCTTTATGATAGTATCATACGTTTAATAAATATAATATTTAAATAAATAGATGCCACTAAATGTGTCAAAATTTTATTATTCCCCGTAATATATCATACATAATGAGAATAGTTCAGTATTCAATTATGTAATTATACTTTGTGTTGTATTCTAGCATTAATAACTCTTATAACAATACGTGAAAGAAATCACACACACACACACACACACACACACACGCACACACACACACACACACACACACACACACACACACACACACACACACACACACACACATATCCTAACAAAACATTTGTAAAATTACATAAACTAATAAAATATATAATAAAATATGAAATTAAATATGTAGTGTAAAATATGTAATAAAATATAAAATATAAAAATGTAGTAAAATATGTAATAAAATATTACAAAAATTTAATAAAAACTTATAAAAAATCATGTAAACAAACAATTCTAACAAATCACTCGTAAAAATTATATAAGAAAACAAAAAACATTTTTTGATAAAATACAATCCTAACAAAGAATACTTAAAACTATATAACAAACCTAACAAAAAACTTGTGTAAAAAACCAAAAATAGCAAACAAAATGTATATATGTATATATGTGAACTTAAA